CCGTCATTTGACCTAAAGCACCTAATGGGTGGGTGTTTAGTAAAGAATTTCCAAGGTAATGTGAGTTTACATAGAAAATATAAGATGAAAACTTGCATGCAAAGGTGATTTAAATAATAGTGTTACAGATGTAGAACTGGAAGAGGTCAACACCAAACAAAAGGAAGATTTAGAGAATTGCCCTCATGCTCTCAGAAAACATCCCAAATAGGCAGATTTGAAAAAAAAATACAGGCAAATGAATTCAAATCAACAGAGAATAGTACACTGAAGATTTCTTTAGAATCAGAGATCTACAGACTACTTCTACTATACAATATTCCAAGAAACGTGATGCTTCAATTTACTTTAGGTGCTACTTATACTATTTTGGTCTCATATTTTTCTTATTTCTTGGAAGTAACCCATGAATCAAGATTTTATGAAAGAAATAGTGAAGCCTGCTTTTCAATTTCAATGATGTGTCAAACCTATCTTAATTCATAGGTATATACAGATATACAATTCAAAGTTTATCAAACTTTCTGCCAATATTTTATTCAATATAAGAGAACTTTTCATAATGTGTTGATGAAATAAGGCAAATGAAATGAGATAATTGAACTGTAATGATCTGCCCTGTACCTCTAAGAGACAAGCCACCCCCTCCCCAAGCTGATCAGCTTCTAGTATGAGTCTCTCTCTCTCTCTCTCTCTCTCTCTCTCTCTCTCTCTCTCTCTCTCTCCATCTCTCTGCTCTTCCCCCTTTCTCCTTCCCCTCCATAACCCACTCAATAAATATCCGACTTCACTTGGCATGGTTTGCCTATTCATGACTCTGTCCTTCACCCACCACCTGGCTCCCTGCCCAGGACCAGCCACTTTCTGAGACCTGCAGCATGGTCTCTTGTGGTGCCCATCTGTCTATCTCTCCTCCTGTGACTTGCTGCCACTCATAGCCCACTATAGCTACTTGGGGAACTGCACTCTCCCTGTCTGGGACTGGCTGATCTCAGGACCCACTGCCCACTGCCTTCTGCTGCTCTGGGACCTGCTGCGTGGTCTCATGGTCTGCTGCCTACTGCTGCCACTTGGGGACCTGCAGCATTTTTACTTAAACCACAACAATAACTGATGCTGATACACACACACACACACACACACACACACACACACAGAAGATAAACTCGGCTCACAGATGAAAGAATTAAACTCAGCTCACAGATGAAAGAATTAGAACTAGAACACATATTCCTTACTTAGTTCTGACACTGTCTCCCAACCTGAATACCTTGTCCCCTTAAGAGACAAGCCCCGCCCACTCCTTCCCCCACTGCTGCCATGGCAAGCAATTTCTGAAGAGGTGGTTGCTGTCTTTCTCTTTCTCCCCCTACCCCCCACTGTCTCTCTCCTTTGCCATCTTCTTCTCCCCTTCCCCTTCCCTTTCCCTTTCATAACCCACTAAATAAACTTTATACCCCAACTCTCTCTCTGCATGGCGTACCTGTCTGTGTTTCATCCGCCTTGGTCTCCCATCTGCTGACCTGCAGAGGCCTGTGGGGACCTGCAGCCAGCCCCTTGTGGGGCCAGCCTTCCCTCATAGATCTTTAAAAAGAATAATTCTAACTATATGTCTATAGCAAGGCAGCTTCTTTACAGTCTGGTAAAACAATGATATTGCAGGTTTACTTATAGAATCACATAGAAGTTATATAAAACTTGTCGAATATTTGCAAAGATACAAAATTATTCAATATTTATTTTATCCAGCATTTTTTTTTGTTAGAAGTTTGAACCATGGACATCTTTATCAACTCTGTTAGACGAAAGAGGAACACTTTTTGGACAGAAAAAGAATCTGATTCAATTATAAATTCAGTTCTTAAATTTTAAAATATATTCGCAATATATACATTTTCAAACTATCAATGCTCAGGATCTATATGATGTTATATAAAAGTTTGATGGCTTCAATATTCTTGCTAGACTATCACAAGTAACTATAAGCAAAATGTCTTCATCATGTGTATCGACAAGCATAATATTATTCCTTGATTTCAGTTATGAAAGTAAAGAGTCCTGTCTACTAATACATTGGGAAATTTAATTGTGTTTTATGGTGAAATTTATTCACTAATTTTATTAAGGAAGTACATGATTTATAATACATTCAGTGCTCATAGATCCCATAAGTTATAATTACTACTGTGACAATTAAATAGATATTGAAGTAACTAATAACCAAAGTCAATAGTCAATATTGTAAGGAATAATAAGATTCATAGTCTCTCTATATAGAACAGTTGGCAATTTCAGAAAAAATAAAAAACTTCGTATAAAGGCTTCATCTTTTTCTCTATGCAGTAGCCTTTGTAGAAAACAAATCTTGCTCGGATTTGGAGTAGACAGAGGACCCAAGATCTGTTGGGTGAGCTGTTACTTTGATTAAACATATGGGTGCCTTCCTTCTTTTCTTCTTTTAATAATTAATAGAGTTCAGTATAGGCCTGACAACATACACTTATAATTCTAACATTCAGAGAATCTGAGGCTGGAGAATTACTAATTGAAAACCGACCAGAGTATAGGGTAAAAGCACTGGCTTGCAAACTTCACATCCTGAGTTCAAAGCCTTATATTCCATGTAAAAACTTGGTGTACCTCCAAGATGCTTTCTGGACAAGCGGGGGTGGGGGTGTAGGTGGGAGTGGGGGCAGGAGCAGATACAGAATAGTCTCCAGAAGCTCCTACCAGCTAGGGTCAGAAGCAGCAAAGGGATCCTGCCTCAGGTAAGATAGACAGACATAGGCCTGCCCCCAAGGTCCTTCTCAGACCTCCACACATGTGTGTACTTGCCCCTGCACCAAATAATGAACTGATTACCAAATGAAGACCCTAATTAGGAACAATGGCAGTTAACCAAAACAACAACAAAAATAACAATGAAACAATTACTCCTTTACACTAAGAATGTAAAGAAATTCCTCCTTATTTTAACTTATTTTTTATTTTCTGACTCTGGTGTTTTGAATATTTTATGTAATCAGTGTCCTAGACTAAAAACGCAGAAAGTTTCATCCTTGGAGTTCATATGAGAAACATACTTCAGGTTGGTTCCGAAGGTGATAAAAAAGCATATACACAGATTTAAGAAGCACACACATACATACACAGCTGAGGAGAGGGAGCGTGAAATGACCCTATCCTATAGCCACACTGATGAATATCTTGCATATCACCATAAAACCTTCATCTGGCGATGGATGGAGATAGAGACAGACCCACATTGGAGCACTGGACTGAGCTCCCAAATCCAAACAAGGAGCAGAAGGAGGGAGAACATGAGCAGGGAATTCAGGACCACAAGGGGTGTGCCCACCCACTGAGACGGTGGGGCTGATCTAATGGGAGCTCATCAAAGCCAGCTGGACTGGGACTGATGGAACATGTGATCAAACCGGACTCTCTGAACGTGGTGGTCAATGAGGGCTGACTGAGAAGCCAAGGACAATGGCACTGGGTTTTGTTCCTATAGCATGGACTGGCTGTGTGGGAGCCTAGGGTGTTTGGATGCTCACCTTCCTAGTCCTGGATGGAGGAAGGACCTTGGACTTCCCACAGGGCAGGGAACCCTGACTGCTCTTTGGAATGGAGAGGGATGGGGAGGGCAGCCGGGGGAAGGGGAAGGAAATGGGAGGAGGGGAGGAGGTGGAAATTTTTAATAAAATTTTTAATTAAAAAAGAAATACAAGAAAGCTAAGAAATGTTAATCAGATTAATTTCCAATCGTTTTTAAAGAAAGATGAAAAATCAAAACACAAACTTGCTTTTTCCTTATTCATACTTAATAACACATATAGCCAATTTTCAATTCAATTATTCAGAACTATAGTTTTTCCAGATTATAGCATGCATGAATATTGCATATGTAAATATAAATGATATAGGAGATCCTTTAGGATTCAGACAAAATAAAATCTGAATTTATGTAGCTTTTGCATTCTGTCCCAAACTGTAGGAAATCTCTGCAGAGATAAAGTCAGACTTTATACTAAACAAATTATTTTAAAAGGATCAAACAAAACTAACATCACTGTGGATATGGTATGTGACACCAGAGAAGGAAGATAAAAAAGAATGACAAATTCAAGATGTAATAAATCACTGTTATTACTGTCTGTACTAGAGCAACAAACTAACTGTCTCATCAAAATAGGAAAAGAAATTCTTTAGTCCATTTCTTAAATTTATCATATCAAACTATATTCTAAATACTAGTGATGTTCATTTATATACACATATAGAACAAAAAGTTACAAAAGAAAAGATATGTGATAATGTTGCATAATAGTTCAGGAAAATTCCAACAGCTATTAGGAATAAACCTTTGAAATTCCATTTAAGCAATATTACTCTAGGCTTCTGTTATTGCTGCTCATGCACACAGATTTAATAATTTTTGTTGTCAGGGAAAACAATTGTCTGAAAATTGTGCATCCACGAGCTATAACAAATTTAGCAATCTCATTTTTATTTTCACAGATCATGTTAGGAAGAAAACTGCAAAATGTCAGATTAACATTTCAGAATGTATTTGAAAAAAAACGAAGAGAAACTGATTTAGTTAGCAACGCTAAATAAAACAGACAATTCCTACAGATGCTTTCCCTGTAAGACATTAAGTAAACAGTGAAAATGGCAGCCATTTTAATTTAATAAACCTACCCTTAACTTACTTCTCTGGCTGAGTAAAGTTTCTGTTTGACAAGACCCCTGGTGTTTTAGGCGAATATTTTTCTGGTCAAAAATATCTGTAATTTTAGAAGCCGATGATATTAAATGGGATTACAAATGACTTTTCTTACTGTCTCTTGCCTCTTTCCTTCCTGTCCAAATGCTGAACTCTATCAGCCTGAATAAGAAACTTTACTTTTGTCCCCACTTTGTCAACATCAAGTACAAATACTTGTGATGGGTCAGGTGGATTGACTAAAGGGCTAACACAGGGACACTTGACTTACTTGCCACTGTTTCATCAGCTCTCGGACTCCCTTGGAGCCTTCTAGGAGTTTCTCCTTCCGGGAAGCATCCTGGAGGACATTGGCAGTTGTTTCAGCTTCTGTAATCCAGGAAAGAAACTTCTCCAGGTCCAGAGGGAACTGTTGTAGTAACCTATGAGTTTCTTCCAAAGCTGCCTCTCTCTCACTCACTCTGTAAAGGACAAGCAGGCAGATGGGATTCACTATTATCAGGATGGTATATGCAAGGAACTCAGTAAAATGATCAAGGACGGTATGCTGCTGAAGCTCTCCAGTTAACCCCCAACCAAAATGCCATGCTCTTCGTTTAATATTCATTTCAATTTCATCTAAACATTTCTTCTGGATGGAAGGCATGCAAGTGGAGCTATTAAAAATAAACAGCAATGTGCTGGGGCTGGGGATCAATGGTAGAGTGTTTGCCTCCTAAATTCAAGGCCCTAGGTTTCTAGGTTTAATCCCTGGACCCTGCCTCAAAGATGAATAATAAATAAAGATTTCTCTAGAAATGGCCACACACATACCAGATAGATAGATAAATAATAGATAGATAGATAGATAGATAGATAGATAGATAGACAGATCAAGAGAGAGAGACGTAAAATTTTTGTTCATAAACACTCCAAAATACCTTTCTTTCAACTTTAAGTTTGTGCTGGGCAATGGGAAAACTCATTTTGAGATGCCACAGAATTTGACATTAAATTTCATATGCAAAACCTTAAATTCCCTTGCCATGCATATCTTTGATATCAAACTGAGTCAAGAAGCAAGGATTAAATAAAGTAACAAGTAAAGAATACACAGATGGCGAGCTGGGAGGTGACTACTGAAGGGGCAAGTGAAGAGACAGATTGACCGGCGAAGGGACAAAAAGACTAAGAAGAAAGCACTTCACGGAAAGAGTTGTGCAAACTGGCATCTTGCCACACACTAGCTTATTCAAAGTATTTTGTGAGGTTCACACTGTGCTCTCTGTTGGTCACAGACCAAAGATATTGTCGAAAAGAAAAATGCTACACCAAGTTGAAAAAGTTGAAGCTTACTAATCAGACAAACAGTGACTCAGTTCCCAATATCTTTTCCCAGTTGTGTGATCTGGCTTGTTACTAACTCATCATTCTTCTACTGCTATGATGAACAAACTTCACACATTACGACTGCTGATGATTGCTAATAACAATGTTAGTTCCTCTGCCTACACCTCATTTTCTCATTTCCAAGTTGTGTTTAAAAACTGGAAGAAACAAAAATCCCTTATGAGAATTTTTTAAATCATAATTTCCAATTATATATGTATAATATATATACACACGCATATATATATATATTGCATATTATGTGGATATACATACAAACACCCTGAGCAAAGATGTGTATAATAATAGCTCAGGAGGGAAAATTGCCTTAAGCAGTAACAGTCCCATCTGAAAAGATTCAGGTAAATTTTGTCTGCAATGAGGAAATTAGTACTCTATTTAAATGCCTTATTTGCCTTCTACGACTACACAAACACTTGCTGGGATTAAACATAAGCTAAAAATGGATTTCAAAAAATTGAACACTTGAATATGATACATACTGCTTGTTAAGATGTGATTGTCAATAATTATGCAAAACCGCAATTTATTTTAGCATCAACTTTATTATGGGATGTGCAAAGCAGGCAATGAACAAGGCCTGCCGAGCCAGAGGCAGTGCAGTGAAGTCCCCAGAAGAGCTGTGTGCTCATCGCGGGGGAGGTTCTGCTGAGCACACAGTCTTTCACAGTGTGGTCTCAGTGCTCAGACTGTATGGAAATCTTCCCGCTGTGCTCTGTACTAACTGCTAGAGAAGAGAGTAGGTTTATGAGGGTGCCGCTATTGGAAAAACATGAGCGCTGCACTAAGCCATTTATCAACTCCTAAATAAATGTTAATACTCCACAAGTAAAAGGTACCGTGGAGTTCTGGTTGGGCACGGTAGTGAAATCTGGAACAGCTGCAGGGCTAACTGGGACCGCCACTTTCCCTCATTTGTAGGTAAGACGTTTTCTGTGCCATTGTCGCAGCTCGAGGACTCTGAATGGGAAAGTTGGGCTTGTAATACAGAGGGAAGCTCTTGAGCAAATACTGACAATCTACTGGCACGGACTTGCCAAAGAGACAGTTTCTTGCAGTTTAAACTAAGAGTTATTCTACCCGCAGCCTAAAACTCATCATAGAAATAAACTGTCCCAGTCTAGAAGACAATTCCTGGCTAAGACGTTGGCTTATTGTGGAATATACTCCACTTTCAGACACAACGAAAGGACAAACTGAAAGTCACCCACAGCAGAATGAAGCTTCAGAGATTAGAGAGTGTGAAAGTCATTCTCAGAGGCATCTTCATGCGGAGGGGCACTCTATCCGTCTTAGCTCTTCTGCCCTTCAGTGAGACACACCATTCACCTTCCGCTTCCGTAAGAAGGGACTAGTAAATAACTTTGAAAGCAGCGTGCAGGAAGTCAGATGAAAGGGCTCTATCTAGACAATGTGATTCTCAGCCAAATCCTGCCTGCAGTTTTCTGCTTTGTAAATTAGGCCCTTAGGGAAGCCGAGGAACATTTTCAGGACAGTAAGGCACCATTTTCTTCAAGGATACCCTTGTGGTCTGACATATTGACAACATCAGGCGGAATATTTCCTTATTCGGGAAATACTTTAAGAAGAAATGGAAGCAAGAGCAGAAAATCTCTTCGAATAAGCTCTTTTCCGAAGCTGTTGGATCACAGACTCAACTGCTGTTTCCTGCTTCCATGGGGCTTTTAATGACTCCAAACTCACTCCTAGGTTCGAGGCGTGTACAGAGTTTATTGAGTTCTAAGATTTAATTGTGTCAAGACTATCCTAGAAATAAGTCCATGGTAATTAATTTCCATATTTGTGCATTCAAATTAGGTCTAAATGTGTCCCTTAGTTTTTCATTTTCCTCAACCATATGCCTTTGGATGGCTTATGTGATAAATAAAAATATAAAAATAATGAGAAATAAAAGATTGGCTAGGGAAAAGAGACTGCTAATGTGGCTTATTTTAAAGTTCTCTATTTAGGAGATACAATCCTATGGACCCTGAAGACAATTTCACTGGATTTTAGAGGGAATAATGAGTATATATAAGAAATTGCAAGAAGGCTTTTAAACTGTCATCTAGTATATTAAATTCTTTCTATATAATAAAGCTTAATTATCACTATTCCAAGTATATAATGCATGAAAAGAGATAAGAATTTAATCTCATGGGATAAAGAATTCATGATATCTAAAAGGTTACCTTCTAGTGCTAAGACCTGTTCTCTTAGTCCATAAATAAGGGTGGTATACAACAGTGGTTTCAAAATATGGTTCATGGACCAGCAGTCCCAGCAGCCACATCTGAGAACTTATTAGAAATTCAAATTCTCAGGCCTCAGGCTAGCTCTACTGAAAGAGGAACTCAGTGGGTGGAGCCCAAGCAGCTGTGTTTGAGCAAGCCTTCCAGGCATCTCAAACACATGCGAAAGTTTGAAAAAAACACTTCTACTGGGGATGAAACTTTGAGAAGTACTGTGTGAGCGATGCTGGAGTATGCTGTTCCAATCTCTGACTGGGAGTTCTGCTGGCTGAAGGTTCTCGTGTGTCAGCATTATTTGAGGCTAGAACAGAATTAAAAGAGCCTCCTTCTCCAAAGTTGCTCTGCTCATCCCCGAAGCAGGCAGAAACCATTGCGAGACCAAAACAGGAAAAAGAGCAATTCACTAGGCAAATTAATGGGAGACCAAAACAGGAAAAGTATACCTTGCAGGTTAAGTGTTCTGTTTGCAACTAAGACAATTAAGAATAACTTCCCACCTGTCCTATGTTTGTCGGAGCCATCTGCATTAGCTATGCTTGACCACACATGGGCAGGAGGTATATGGGCAGAAAATTTGTCAGGATGTACCCCTGCCCTTGATTGCATAGGCAGAAGATGCACAGTCAGGATGTAAGTCAGGAGATATGCTTGCCCTGACTGGACCTGATTGAAAATATGGTAGCCTTGTGGTTGTGTGGGAAGTTCATCTGTATTTGATGAACCTGAGGTAGACGCTGGTTCTTCGTTTGGGGTGGGGTGGGGTTTAGATGATTGTTAGCCAAAACCAGTGCGAAGCCAGAGCACACTTCTCAGTAAAATCCCAGACATTAAGTACTTTCTTAGAATCTGCTTTCTGAAAAACTGAATTTATGGGGAGAACTAAACACTTTCTCATACAGATTGTTGTAGTGATATTTCTTTTGTATTTTAATAAATAAAGCTTGCTTGAAGATCAGAGAGCAAAACAGCCACCCTGGTCAGCCTTATAGACCATGATATCACACACCTTTAATCCCAGTAGCCACACCCGTTTGCCATAGAAACCAGGGGGTAGTGGTGCACGACTTTAATCCCAGCACTAGAAAGGAATATAAAATGGGAGGAGACAGTTCTCAGGCTCTTTCTGAGGATTCCTGGAGGCATAATCTCCATTTCAGACTGAGAGAGAGGTAATAGCCAGTGACTAGCTGTTTTGCTTTTCTGTCCTTCAGGTTGAACCTCAATATTTGTCTCTGGATTTTTATTAATCTTGCAGATTGTGATCTCCAAAAGAGACAATGGGGTTCTGAAATATCAGCTAATAAAAAGAGTGTTTGAAGGGGCAAAATTGTGGATCTGTGAAACAGTGCGAAATTACATAAGCTCAAGAAGATGCTTATCCAGTCCCAACTCGGAGAAAAGGTGACAAATCACAAAAAAAAAAAAAAAAAAAAAAACATGTCCCTCCATAGCCATTAAGATATATATGTGATTATCAACAAGGAAATGAATATACCATCTGTCATTTTATACATACACATACATGAGTATGTGCACATGTGTGTGTGCGCGCATATACACACACTACTATATGTGAATAATTTTCTAAGCCTCCATGCTTTTTCTGAAGCTGAAATTGCAATTTAATGTGGGATAATCTTAATACATAAAAACTAAGGACAAGGGAAGGGGGACTTTTATTTTCTAAGGTAAGGCTGAAGATTTTAGTATGTATTAGAAATATGGAGGGAAAAGCTTTCTCAGTGAATTATATTTCTAGATTAAAAGTATGTGTAATTGAACAATATAAATGAACAGGGTGGGGTGCTGCAAAGATTCTA